AGGATTACATAGATGGTAAATGACAGAGAGAAAATTTGAACCCAGATTTGCTTACTCCAAAGCCAATGCTCTGTATAGTTTACCATGATACCTCTTTCTAGTTCTGCCTTCTGAGTCCAAACAGAACTAGTATCTCAGGTGTCAGCCATTCAGATATTTGAAGACCACTACCATGTTACCCCTAAGAATTCTCTTCTTTAAACTAAACACCCCCAGTCCTTCAACCAATCCTTCTATGCCATGATCTCAGGGCCCTTCACTGTCTTGGTTGCCCTCCTAGACACTCTCTAGATTATCCACATACCTCCTAAAATGTGGTGCCCCAAAATTAAAATACTATTTCAGATGTGGTCTAACCAGGGCAGAGGACCATGGAGTTATAGCCTTGTAAATCTGGACGCTTGTAATGTAGCCTAATTATTGAATTAGCTTTTTGGGTTAACATCACACCGTTGACTCATATTGAAATTTCAGTCTCAATGAAACTTCCAGATCTTTTTAGGTGAACTGCTCCCTTAGGCAAACTCCTCTTCTTATAATTGGGCATTTGATTTTTTGAACCCAAATGTAAAATTTGACATTTATTCTTATAATTATCCCTCAGCCACGTCCTTTGGGCAAAATTCCTTTTACCACTCTGCTTGTAACTTCTTTGGCAAATGGCTATATTAAAGTCCCTTTGTGGGCCTTCAACTTTAGATTTTCTCATCTTAAGAAGAACTTATAGCCAAATTAGCACCTTCCCTTGTATACACAACTTTTCCTGACCTTAACTTCTCCTTAGCTTCCATTCAACAATTCAGAAAACATTTCTTAAGTATCTGCTATGTGCCAGATACTGTGTTAGGCTTTGTGCAAAGACAAGATAGTGTGCAGACGGGTATGTAAATATACAAACAAACACACGTATGTGGCCAATGTGGGAATTTGTTTTGCTTGACTTTTTAAAAAAATGTTTATTTTATTCTGAACTTAAGAAATAAAATAAGCATTTCTATAACATAGCAGAAACATAGGGGGGAAAGATGACAGTACATGAAACTGCAAATCTATTGTGTACAACTTGCCATTCCTTTTAAATATATAATGAAGCTATCATGTAGCATGTTTTTTCTTTTTTTTCTTCCCTGATGTCTGTGTGTGTGTGTGTGTGTGTGTGTGTGTGTGTGTGTGTGTGTGTGTTACTTTCGGGGGGGTAGAGGTAGATAGGAGGGAGAGACAGTGTATTTTCATTGGTTGAAAATTTAGTTGATTAATTTTTAAAGACATGAAGACATGGGATGGAATATTACATACTGGGGTCAACGTGTAGGCCAATTTGTCTGAAACATAGAGTGCGTTATATCAGTCTGGAAAGGTATGTAGAAGCCAAATTGTGTGGGGCTTAAACACCAAACAGGATTTGTTTTTTTATTCTAGAAGCAGTAGAGAGCCACTGAAGCTTCGTTTGTCACCGACTTATTTCTCCTCCTTGAATCTAAATCTTCTTTCTCTTCCTAGACTCCTCCTTTGCCTAGATTCATTCTCTTGCTTCTCTTTATTTGCAGTCAAGGAGGATGAATTGCCTTCAGCCAAAGCCATATTTGAGGCAAAAGGTACCATCTTGAGAAACACAGCTCTCCTCCTTTGTTCCTACAGACAAAAAAACCTGAGAACAACTTCAAATCGGCTGATAAATTAATCAGTGCTAGGTCTGCAGGGCAGGATTTTTCAATAGGTTCCTCTTCGCTGTCTCCTACATTCCCAGGCATTATATTTAGAGGGCGGATGTACTGTCATTAAAGAAATAAATCCGAATTTGGAATCAGACATCATTCTTCTTACAAACTAGCCCTTTTATTTATTTATTCTTATTTTTTTTTTTGCTTTTTAGTGAGGCAATCAGAGTTAAGTGACTTGCCCAAGGTCACACAGCTAGTAAGTGTCATGTGTCTGAGAGTGGATTTGAACTCAGGTCCTCCTGAGTCCAAGGCCAGAGCTCTATCTACTATTCCACCTAGCTGCCCCTATTATTTTCTCTTAAAAATTGTTTTTTTAACAGTGTTTTTTCACATTCAGTTCTATTTTATTAAAGTTTGCTTGTCATTGAAATAACATGAAAACTTTTAAAAGTGATACTGATATTGTATATTTGTTGTCATTACAGAAAACTCTTTTGGCAAATATAACAAATTAATGGCACGAACATATTGTAAATATATATATATATATATATATATATATATACATATATGTGTATACATACATACATATATTTACCAGTTTAAAGCAAAATCCAATCGACTTTTTTTTTTTTGGTGAAGCAGTTGGGGTTAAGCGACTTGCCCAGGGTCACACAGCTTATAAGTAGCAAGTGTCTGAGGCCAGATTTGTCCTTCTGATTCCAGGGTCAGTGTTCTATCCACGGCACCACCTAGCTGCCCCCCAATCAACTTTTAAAGTAGTCTATTGAGTCACTGAGCTAACGCAAAGTCCTCCATGGCTTATTTTTGTCTTTTAAGCAACTTACATTCTGAATAAACAATTAACATGATTTTTAAAAAAATTGAGCTCCAAATTTTCTTCCTCCCTCTATCCCCTCTCTGACCAATTAAGAAGCCAAGCAATATATCAATTATACATGGGAAATCATGCAAAATATTTTCATATTAGCTATGTTGCAAAAAATAAGCAAGAAAAATGAGGAAAATTTTTAAAAAATCTTCAATTTTTACTCAGAGTTCATCAGTTATCTCTCTGGAGGTAAATAGAATTTTATTTATTGTGAGTCCTTTGGAGTTATCTTGCATCATTGTATTGATTAGAGCAGCTAAGTCTTTCAGGGTAGGTCATCATTACAATATTACTGTTGTGTATATTATTCTCCTGGTTTTGCTGACTTCACTTTGCTTCAGTTCCTATAAGTCTTCCCAGGTTTTTCTGAAACCATCCTGTTCATCATTTCTTACACAATAGTATTACATCACAATCACATACCACAATTTGTTCAGCCATTCCTCAATTGATGAGCGCCCCCTCAATTTCCTATTCTTTGCCACCACAAAGAGAACTGCAATAAAGATTTTTGTACATTTAGGACCTTTTCCTTTTTTCTTTGGTCTCTTTGGGATGGACCTGGTAGTGGTATGACTGGGTTAAAGGCTATACAGAATTTTATAGCCCTTTGGGGAAAGTTCCATATTGTTCTCCAGAATGGTTGGACCTGTTCACAATTCTACCAACAGCGAATTAGTGTCCCAGTTTTTCTATATCCTCTCCAGCGTTTGTCATTTTCCTTTCATATCATGTTAGCCAGACTGATATGGGGGAGGTGCACCTCAGGGTTGTCCTAGAGCTTTGATTTATTCTTCTGAAAACTGCCTATTTATATCCTTTAACCATTTATCAATTGGGGAATAACTCTCATTTTTATACAGTTGACTCCTCATATTCAAGAAATATATTTGAGAAATAAAGCCTTTATCAGAGAAACTTGCTTTTAAAATCCCTCCCCTGAAGTTTCCTTCTCTCTTTCTTTCTAATTTTGACTGCCTTGGTTCTGTTTGTGCAAAAACTTTAATTTCACGTAATCAAAATTATTAATTTTACCTCCCATCATCCTCTCTATCACTTCTTTGGTCATAGAATCTTCCCTTATCCACAGATCTGGCAAGTAAAATTTTCTTTGCTCCCCTAATTTGCTTATTGTATGTCTTTATGTCTAAATCATATACCCCTTTTGACCTTATCTTAGTATACAGTGTGAGATGTTGGTCTGTGCCTAGTTTCTACCAAACTGCTTTCCAGTTTCCCAGAAAGTTTTGTTAAATAGTAAGTTCTTGTCCCCAAAACTTGGATCTTTGGCTTTATCAAATGCTAGATTACTATGGTCATTTACTACTGCATATAGTGTACCTAATCTATTCCACTGATCCACCACCACTCTATTTCTTAGCCAGTACCAGGTTATTTTAATGATTGCCACTTTATGATATAGTTTGAAATCTAGTACTGCTAAGCTAGCCCTTTTGTAGACCATAATGTTTGCATCCATTAAACCTCAACAAGAGATGTTAGAATTAAGCTATCAGCAGCAAATTTGGGACCTCTATGTGGGTTTAGTTGCCTATCCTCCCAATAATGACTATTTCCAAAAGAGTACCACAATACATTCCTCCTGGGAAGTCTTGATGGGAAAGGCTGTATTTCTGCCATTTCAGCCCTAAAGTAGACCACAGGAGCCTGTTCAGGACTACACTTGGTCATCCATGACTATAGGTGGACACAGCTATGATGCAACATTAGTTGGATGTATCTAGCTCAGTGGAGATAACATTAGCTTTCACCACAGATTTCCCTCAGCACAGGAGTGGGACGAATGCAACTTGGTAGTAGGTGATTGCCCAGAAATGGTGGCTTGAGATTTCTAAGGTCAACTTCTGCATTAATTCCCCGACCTAGTACAGACTTCACAACCTAACTCTTTGGTCTGATAAAGGAGGGTTCTGACAGTCCCTTTGGATCTTGGGGGTCTGCAGACACCATGGCATCAACTTGGCCTAGCCATTTTCTTATGCTCATTATCTTCCCAATTCAGGCCTTACCTCTTCTGCCCAATGTTATTATCATATCACCGAAAGAATACTGGGTTTTTGAGTCAGGAGTCCTGGCTCCCATTCCTGGCTCTGCTGTTTGCTGCTTGCATGACCTGGGAAAAATCACTTCAGTTCTCAGGGCCTCAGTTTCCTTATCTGTAAAATGAATAGATTGAAATAGATGCTTTCTGGAACAGACCCTTTCCTACTCTCAATCTATACTCTTATCTCCTTCTTCTCTCCTCTAATTTTTCTAGCCATTCACAGGTGTTAACCATGCCCTGGATGATGGATATTCATTATCCCTTTGGCCTGTAGACTTTGTTCATCATACAGTTGGTGCTTAATAAATAAATGCCTGTTGATTGATCATCAATGTTGTCTTTTTAATTGCCTGTTTTTGTTTGCTTGCTTGTTTTTTTATAGATGTGAGGCCACTGTTATCTCAGGAACTGAAATGGCCAGACAGATCTGTAAAGAAATATGTCATGAGGTAGAATCATGGGTGTCCCTTGGGAACAGGAAACCTCATCTCAGTATCATTTTAGTAGGAGACAACCCAGCGAGCCATACCTATGTGAGAAATAAGATAAAAGCTGCTACAGCTGTAGGTAAGTAAGCATTTCATGTGAACACCTATCTATTAAGCATTTCACATGCAGGGCCTTCTTACAGATTTCATTTTTAAAGGATCTTCAGCCATTTAAAATCACAGAGTTATTAATACATGACTTGGTACCTCATTGCTGGAAAAGAATGTAAGAGACAAGTCAGAAAAAAATCAAAGTTTTTTTTTCTTTTTCTACATTAGTTTTACTTAATTAATAATTTTCTTTGATTAAAAAGCATTGCCTTGTGTGCTTTAGTGTGACTGACACATTCTGCTGCCTTGATGTCTCTAGTTACGTATCTAAGGACTATAGAATATTAAAGTTGGAAGGGACCTAGAACAGCAAGGGTTATCTAGAACACTTCCCATCTGCTGCATCACTAACAAGTGGTCATTTAAGTCCAGCTTAAATGTTTCTAATCAGAGAGAAACTCACTTTCCCATGACGCAAGGACAAAGGAAAATGAATTGAAGAGACATAAATAAATCGAAGCGTGTCTGACGGTTGGAAAGAAAGGAATTGGCAGAATTGGTTTCATTGGGATTCAAGGGCAATAAGAGACATGATTTCATAGGAAATTTGGTCATCTTTCCTTAGCATACTCAATATGGTTACAAGGGAATAGACCACAATTAAGGTAATTGCAGTATACATGTCACCACTATTTCAGAAGATGAAAAAGGAGTGAGAGATTCTATGATGACCTTCGTAAGCATCTCTAAATCAAGTCAAACCTATGCCTTGGTATTTAGTCATTTCAACAAACATGAGGGCTCAGGTGATGATGGAAAATGGTGAAAAATATGATTTAGGATTAAAAAGAGAAGCATGTGAGGTGTGGTGGTTGCTATAATTTCCACTACCAAGGAGTCTGAGGTTAATGGATAGCTTGAGCTTGGGAGTTCTGCGCTACGGTGGGTTAAGACGATTGGGTGTCCACAATAAGTCTGACATCAATATGGTGAGATGTTAGGAGCAGGGGGCAGCCGAGCTACCTAGAAAGGACAAACCATTTTTATTTGTCTATTTCTCCACAGGGCTGGAAGTGTACTGGCCATTCACAGGACCATTCTTACTCTTGATCATTATGAGAACTTCGACCTTTTTTGTTTCTGGTTTGAGTTGGTTCAACTCTTGTTAAGCAGTCAGATGCTCCCCTTGCTTGAGAGAACTTATATTAATACTGGACTTAGTGCAGTCATCCAATTGACCTAGCTCACTGCAGCTCAGAACCCCTGAGCTCAAGCCATCTACTAGCCTCAGCCTCAATGCTGCTAGGTGGTACAGTGGGTAGAGAGCTGTGCCTGGAGTTAGGAAGACCTGAGTTCAAATCCAGTCTCAAACATTCTTGGCAGGCAGCATTGAAATTGACCCACTGTCCCAGGCACTTCTAATGAATACTTGAATGGTTATTGTCTGACTCCTATATGTTTTCTTGTAGGCATTGGTAGTGAAGTCATTCTGAAACCTAAAGATGTTTCTCAGGAAGAACTTTTGGACATAACTGAGCAACTAAATATGGACTCAAGAGTTAGTGGTATATTGGTTCAACTGCCTTTGCCAGGTAATGTAATTTTATGCTATGCCTTGGGTGTAATTCTAAGAAAAAACTGGCATGTGTTACAGTTATCTTCAAAGTATTGTATTTCATTTTTAAAATATTGGAAAAGAGACTAGCGTAAAGATGTTTATCCTAGTATGAAAATGCTGAAGGTTTTTGAAATTCTTTATTCTGCAGCTTTTTCAATGGAGTAAATTAAAATGCCACAAAATAGGAAGACAAATGACAATACCAGTGAAGACAAGACAGTGCATAGCTTTGGAAGATCTTCTCCTGTTAGTTTTGGTCATTGGATACATAGCTTGTTGGGTTCAGCAAACATTTACTAATTGCTCATTATGTTCGAGGAGAAAAGATATATATGCCTCTTTATAGTCATGAAAATATATGTAATCCTCTCCCACAATTTGACCAATCTGATATAAGCAGCTAGGTGGTACAGTGGACTTGGCTTATTGTTTTAGCAGACAGCTGGTTGATGTGGTTGATACAGCCTTGGATCTGGAGGCAGGAAGATATGAGTTCAAATCCATCCTCAGACATTTAACTAATAGGCGAGTCACTTAACCATTGTCTGACTAAGGTTTCTCATCTGTAAAATGGCGATAATAATAGTACCTACCTTCTAGTGTTGCTGTGAAGATAAGAAGTAATGATGTTTATGTCTTATAAACTATTATGCACACACATATAGTTAATGTATGTATATATACTAAATCATTCACTTGTTTCTGCCAAGAATACAAGTTAATATTGCTCCTTTTCTCCAAACTGTCTGCAAAATATGGTAGTAGCTATGATTACTTGTAAAAATGTTATGTGATGCCAGTATATTATAGAGTTATGGAATATTGGCCCTGGAAATGATTTTAGATATCATTAAGTCCAGTGGGCAGCTAGGTGGCACAGTGAATAGAGTGCCGGGCTTGTTGTCAGGAAGGCTTGAGTTCAAATCTGGCCTCAGACACCTGCTAGCTGTATCACCCTGGGCAAGTCACTTAACCCGGTTTGTCTCAGTTTCCTCATTTGTAAATGAGCTGGAGAAGGAAATGGCACATCAATGTAGGTGCCAAGAAAACCCCAAATGGCAACATGAAGAGTTGGATGTGATTGAAACCACTGAATAGCAACAAATCATTGAATCCAACCTTCCTGTTTCATGGAAGAAGAAACTGAGGACTAGACTGACTGCCGTGACTAGTTAGTCATAGAATTTGTCATCAGAGTTCAAAGGTATTTTCTCTTGGCTCTAGTACAGCCATTTTGTTTTGAAAGGAAATCATGCAACTGGCTGAAGCTTTTTTCTTAGAAATTTTGTTGAGACTTCCACAAATTTAATCCAGGCAATTAACTGGTTAGGGGTAAAAGAATTTCTGGCTCAGCTTTATGATAAGCATTTCTTGGACTAATTGTAATTTACAGAGTAGATCCCCCTGGTATCTGTTGATCAATTTACATTTACTTGATGCAAATTTTCCGCTTTTGTTGTCTTCGATATGTAAACCTCCTTCAAAGCAAAACCAAACCGAACTAAAACAAAAAACCATACCAGACTATACCCCACTTTTGTACTTTGAAAGACTAGTTATTTTACTGGTATGGAAGGTAGAATACACCCTCTATATTTCGCTAGTTTCTATGGTTGAAAAATTAATTTAAAAAAATAATTACCACCACAGTAAGATTGTGGATAACCCTGCTCCCTGCACTTAGGTAGACTAGTCCTTGGAGAGAAGACACACAATCTGTCCCTGGGGAAGGATCATAAAATAACTGGGTTGACTGATTGGTTACCAAACATTCAAAAACTTCAACTCTTCTGCATAGTGGAAATCATGTGGGGTTTGGAGTCAGAAGTTCTGAGTTCAAATTCTAATCCTATTACTTGTATGACCTTGGGCAGTTCACTTAACTTGTCTGGGTCTTTGTTTCCTGATTTGTCAAATGAGGGGTTGCCCTGGATGACCTCTGATGGCCTTCTCCAGCTCTAAAGCAATGAGCCTGTGAGCACCTAAATAAGAATCTTGTTCTCTTTTTTACATAGTTATCTCCAGCTAACTATAGTCTTATTCCAGGGATGTATATAGAATTTCTCTTTGGAATTTAGCACTCTCTCCTTCTTGGAATTTCTGGTAGCTAAGCAGCTCCATGGATAGAGATCTGGGCCTGGAGTTAGGAAGACTTGAACAAGAAATTCAAATTCTGCTTCAGACATTTACTAGTTGCATGACATTGGGCAAGTCACTTATGCTGGTTGCCTCAGTTTCCTCAACTGTAAACTGGCAATAATAATGCAGGGCCGTTGTGAGGATCACATGAGATAATAGTAAGTAAAGTGCTTAGTACAAGTCCTGGCACATAGTAGGTGCTTTAAAAAAATGCTTGTTTTCTTTCTTCCTGGCTTCATATTTGAATTCTTCCTGCCTTGGGAGGACAAGCTAGAGCATGTGCTCTGCTGGTCTAATCTTTGGGAGCCCAGAGTCACTCCCATGTCAATGATGAGGCTACATCATACTTTGAAGGTATTTAAATTATATCAGTAAAGGGGCAGCTAGGTGGTGCAGTGGATAGAGCACCAGCCCTGAAGTCAGGAGGACCTGAGTTCAAATCTGGCCTCTAGACCAAACACTTGACATTTACTAGCTGTGTGACCCTGGGCAAGTCACTTAACCCCAATTGCCTAAAAATAAATAAATAAGTAAATAAAATAAAAAGGAGAGGGAGAACGACATATGCATTAAAAAAAATTATGCCACTAACACTAAAATGACCATACTCTTTGGTTCAGAAATATCACTGCTAGACCAAGAGGTCCGTGAAAAAAGAAAAATTTAAAAACTATATATATACATATATATATAAATATTTTTTATCAAAAATATTAATGGTAGAAAAGAACTGGAAAAAAGGAGATATCTATCATTTGGTAATGGCTAAACAAATTGTTTTACATAAATATAATGAAATATTACTGTTAATGAATTATTAACATGATGAATACAGAGAATGGAAAATTTTACCTGAACTGCTACATAGTGAAGTAAGAAGAATCAGAAAAACAATAAATAAAATGATTGCAACAATGTAAATGAAAATAACAATGCTAACAATACAACCAACACTGAATACTATAAAATCATAGTGACCAAACTTGGTGCCAAAGAAGAGATGTAAGAAGGCACCCTACCCATTTCTCGGCAGAGGCATTGGGTCTGAAACTGTGCAACACTGAATAATATTGCAAAAAAAAGGGAGGGAAACAGTTCAGCCAAACTGACCAACATATAAAAAAGTAAGACTTTTAAAATTCTTCGTTATAAGGGATGTATTTCTGGAAGTGAGAAAGGGAAGAAATATATGGAAATGGAAATGGAAAAGTTGTATAAAAATAAAAGCTATCAACTGAAATTTATTTAAAATAAATTATGTTGATCACGAATTTCTAAGTATTGTACTAAATTTTTTTTCATTAAAAAAGTACATTTATTCTTGTAGAAAGTGTTCAAATAAAAGTCCTACTTGTTTCAGTTGATTTTTATCAGGATTAGGCCACTAGATGGCAACATTGTTCCATGTGTGATTAGTATTAACTAGGCTTTGTGTCTGATCTGTGGCGGAATTCTCTGATTCTCTCTTTCAAGGCCAAGTAGGCTACATACATCAACCCTTCAGGTTTCCAGGATACCCTGAGCAGGGCAGGAGGCTTAGGGCAATTTTTTCTCAACCACTATCAGTCGGAACTCTCTCTGGCTGTGTTCCTTCCCCATACTCACTCTTGGTGGGGGGGCAGGGACTACTACCAAATTCCATTCAATCACTAAAAATTGATTACTTTTTTTAACCAAAAAGATATTTATATCAGAGATACAGCAAGAAGAAATGTACAAATACTTTCCCTAACACCCCTGGGGTACAACTTCCCTTGTGTCATTCTATTGGGCTGAAGTACTAAAAGTCACTTCTGAAAATGACATTTTGCTCCCTGGGGCATCAAGGCTGAGACACTCGACCTATACTTTGACTCTTGGATTGTTATGGTTCACTCACCCAGCCTTTCCAAACTCTTAAGGTTGGAGATTCCATTCCCCTTACTGGACTCCCTGAGTGAGTCACTGAGATCCCCCAAAAAACAAAGAGAATATTGACTGAAGCTGACAGGCTTTAAAATGCTAATAAAAAAGCCTCATGCTCATCACATGTCTGACTGATCAGAACCAATTACCTAACGTCCACTTGTACTCTAGTCTCTGCAAGATACTTTCCTTACACGATTCTCCAGAAGCCACTTTCTAGCATCTTCCTCCTGGAGAGATGCCGCCTGAGGTGGTCTGGGCATGTGGCAGCTTCCCATGGCAGATTCACGTAACTTTAAAACTGACCTTAGAAATGATCTCATCATTCAAATTCAGCAAGCACCTTTAAAGCACCTACTATTTTCCTGGTCTTGTACAAGGCACTATGGCACCCTCCATGCTGCGGATGTGGTTGCATTTTAGTTGCGGGGAAGAATCACATGCTCAAAGAATGACACAAAGAAGCACAGGGCAACCCCTAATTTATGAACAGGTTGTAAAGTTATTGAATAAAATACAAAATCATGAAACTTTTACAGTTTGAATTTAGGGACTGGCAAAACTACTTTCAATATCATAATGAAATTTAGATTAAAATTATTTATCTTCTAAAGGAAGATCATTGATTTTACCATGATATGGTCCCTTATGAGTACAGACTGTTTTCAAAGCTAATTAAATTAGACTAAGGAATTCATGGGGACAGCTAAGTGGCACACTGGGCATGGAATCAGGAAGACCTGAGTTCAAATTTGTCCTCAGACACTCTCTAGCTGTGTGAGCCTGGGTGAGTCACTTACACCTATTTTCCTCAGTTTCCTCATCTGTAAAATGAGCTGGAGAAGAAAAGGGCAAACCATACTAGTATCTCTGCCAAGAAAAGCCCAAATGGTTATGAAGATTTGGAGGTAACTGAAATCACTGAACAACAACAAAAGAAATTCAAGTGCCTAATAATAATAATAGCTAGTATTTATATAGTGCTTTAAGGTTTGTAAACAACTTACAAATACCATTTCATTTTTTCTTCATAGCACCCTAGGGAGGTAGGTACTTTCATTGTCCTCATTTTACAGAAGCTGAGACAAACAGGGTTAAGTGACTTGTCCGAGATCATATAGCTAGTGTTTGAGGTCTTCTTGACTCTAGGGCCAATACTCCATCTTCTAGGCCACCTAGCTGCCTAACAACTCATTGAATGAAATTAATTTATGGAAATAAGTGCGAAATGTTGAATTTAGAAATGTATGATTTCTTTTCCATGAACACTACTTTAAAAATAGGATTTAAGCTACTAATTTTTTGCATATTATTAAAATCTTAGTAGTCTAATGCAAATAAATTCAACTTGCCTATGGGGGAAATTACATGCCTTATTAAATGTATTGTAATAAATGCATTCTATTTGTCTAAAAGCTAAAAGGACCGAATTAGAGGGGAAACAAGCCTATAGAAAAAAAATGAAGTTTAGACTCAAACTGTGATGTCTTGAAAAAATAATTCGTTCAGATTTATGATTTCATTCACATATGGATAAGGAAACCCTCTTCACCAATGCAGGTTGGCACCTTCTTTTCAATTAGTACTTTTAGATAATTGTGTGAGGCACAGAGAGATTAAGGAGCTTGCCCAGGTCAACACAGCCAGTATGTGTCAAAAGCAGGACTCGATTAACTAGTGTAGAATATATAATTAGCAAAGGAATTTTAATATGCCTGATACTTCATTTTGGCCTTTCAGATAGGGTGTTTTATTAATGGGTTAAGAATTATGCTATTAATCACATAATTCACTTAATGTAGAATAATAAGATCTTATAATATGATGTTCTATATTTGTGCACCTATTATTCATTTTACACAATGACACCACAGATAGCCTATGTGTGAACATTTCTGCGCATTCATATATTGGTCTCCTCCCATAATTAATTATTTTAGTAATAAGTAAATATAGTTGGGGTTATATCATGCTAATGCTTTATGAATATAAATTCTTTAAGCATTTTATTGGCATGAGCAGACACTCAAAATGAGGGAAAGAATTCCTTATCATCTGTCAATCTTTCTCCCCTTGGGCTCTCAGAGCCCTTTACCAAATGCCTGTTAATTGGAATTCATAATAATCCTCTGAAGTAGAAAACTCTTCCGTTATAACTATTATGAGTAAAGTCAAGGCCCAGATCAATGATGTTGTTTCTTTCAGGGAAGGTAAATATTGTATCATTGAGCAAGACTTCTTTTTTATTCTGACCGACCTCTCCTGGCACTGGACTTTCATAGCATCATAGAATTTAGAGCTGACACGGACCCTAGAGATCATTTAGTTCCGACTTTTAATTGTACAGATGATGAAATTGATGTCCAGAAAGATGAAGAGAACTGTCCTTAACACTGCATATACTAGGTGGATTATGATTAAAGAATAGTTTTTCATTACTGTTTGTGATGTCAAGGGAGTGACAAAAAATTAAATGATTCATGAAACCCCAGGATCCTAAATGAGTGAGCTTGGCATGATTCTTTCCAATTTGATTCCCAGGATTCCTAAATGAATGAGCCAATTTTGAATATCTTTCAGACCACATAGATGAACGGACAGTCTGCAATGGAATTGCACCTGGAAAAGATGTAGATGGGTTTCATATTGTCAATGTTGGACGACTATGTCTGGATCAGCATTCTATGATACCAGCCACTGCCTGTGCTGTTTGGGAAATCATAAAGAGAACAGGTACGTAACTCTGAGGAGGGGCAGCTAGGTGGTGCAGTGAATAGAGCACCAGCCCTGGAGTCAAGAAGACCTGAGTTAAAATCCAACTTCAGACACTTGACATTTACTAGCTCTGCAACCCTGGGCAAGTCACTTAACCCCATTGCCTAGCCAAAAAAAAAAAATTGAATACTGATAACATGGGGGCAGCTAGGTGGTGCAGTAGATAGAGCACTGGCCCTGGAGTCAGAAGAACCTGAGTTCAAATCCATCCTCAGACATATGACACTTACTAGCTATGTGACTCTGGGCAAGTCACTTAACCCCAGTTCCCTCACAAAAAAGAAAGAAAGAAAGAAAGAAAGAAAGAAAGAAAAAGAAAGAAAGAAAGAAAGAAAGAAAAAAAAAAAAAGAAAGAAAGAAAGAAAGAAAGAGAAATAACCTGAGTAGGGTGGGTATGAAATACTAAGCTGTTCACTGATTTATTATTTCTTACACATTCCACTGGCATGGTAGATGTTCAGTAGATATTGACTGAAAGAACGGGTAAGTCCTAATAACATATATGATTGACAGATGTTTAGTTGCTGGACTTCAGACTTAACATCTGAGAAATGGGGAAAATGGGAGTGCAAATCTGAAGAATATTTAAAATGCTTTCATGGATTGATGACCTTATCAACATGGATGCTTCCATCCACACTTTCTCATCCTGTGTGACTCTTGCCCATGTCTCACCATTGTACTGTATGTGTTAGAAATCTTATGCTAAATCTATTGACATTTTGTGGATATAAGTAGAGTCCATGGACTCTTGGTCCCTTCTCAGACCTATATCGACTGAGTAAGGGATTCTTAACCTGGGGTCCATGAACTTGCTTGTTTCTTTAAAAAAATTTTTTTGATAACTATTTAAATATATTTTTATAATCACATGTATTTCATTTTATGCATTTAAAAACATTTTTTGAAGAGTCCATAGATTTCTCTTTCTTTTATAGGGCCCAAGGTACACTAAAAAAGGTTATGAGCCCCTGAATTAATTCTCCCATAGACATGCTGATTATTCTTATGAAGATTTTGTAGCAATAGGAAAGTAGGCATATGGATTGGCAATTATTGCCATTTTATTTATTACCTTTTTCAATGCTTGATTTTTTCCCCAGGTATTTGGTATCTTCTTTTTCAGATATCAAGAGAATAGATACCTCAGCACCCTCAAAGTTGTGTTGCCTCTGTTAACCAGAATTCTCTGTATTATGCTTTTTCTAGCCCAGATGTTCTTTCCACATTTCTTATTTTTAGTGCCATTTTTACTTCCTCTTTCAGGCACTGTTACAGCAGATGCAATCATGTGAATGCCTTTGATAGAGGAATAGTTTGGTATGGAAATCTTAATGGATCCTCTCCATATTTCATCTGTTTGACTTTGTCCCAGTTAAATCAAGTGTCTTCAGGGTGATCCAGGTTAATTGGCTTTTACCAAAGTTTCTGCAAACTCATGTTATAATACTACTCATAATCTTCTGCCTTCCCCTTCCAATACATTTTATATACTGCAACAATATTGCCGTTGGCTGCCATGTCTTTCCATTTGTGAAAAAAAAACAAGTGTTTGCTGGCTGTGGCAATTTCTAGATTATTTTGATCTCCTCATTTAGTTATCATTTATTTCCTTACGAATATTGACTTCCAATTTTCCAGCATCAATGAATAATATGTTTAAATAGGTCAAGCAGGAGTTGTTTAATTGCATGCCATATCTTCTCTTTTGTTGTCTTCTAATCTGAGATTGTTTCCATCTTTTCTCAACAAGTCAATGGTCTGACTGGACACAAATAGCTAATATATAAATGATTCTCACGTCAACAATGGGTCATTTTTTTCATTAATGATTTCATTTTTTATCATATTATTCAGCTATTTACCCTGTTAAAAATCTGAATTTCTTCTTGAAACTATTTGTGTTATGTGGACATCAGACTTCTGTATAACCTACAGTTCTTTGGCCATCTATCTTCTCTATCTATCTATCTATCTATCTATCTATCTATCTATCTATCTATCTATCTATCATCTGTCTATCATCTATTTATCTATCTATTTATCTATATATACCTTGAGTCACATTTTCCAAGTAGTTTTCAACGTACTTCCCCATGCTTACTCTTGCTCTGAAGTCATTAAGTTATTAAGTTATATGTTAATTTAATTTGTAGAATCTTATTCAGTTCTTAGAGAATTTATCTCCCTCATCCTCTGCAACAGATGTTATTACATAAGCTACAACTATGTTCCCAGTGGTCTTTTTTTTTTCATGATGACTATAAAATAAGACTTATAATAGAAGATATGTAGAAAGAAAGATATAAAGAAGGCATGGAGGATGTAGGCCAAATGGACTGTTGTTCTTTACTTTTGTACTCTCCTCCCTTGTTTCTTGTGTAGTGGAGAGAAGACTGGGTTATAGAGCATACCTGGATTTGAACCCTTGCTTTTATAACTTACTTTCTATAGTCTTAGGAACTTAACATCTATGGATATCATTTCCTCATCTCTAAATGGAGATTGGGCTAAAGAAACTCTAGCATCCATTCCAGCTGTAAATCCTATGATCTCATATAGTAATAACTAGCATTTATATAGTTCTTTAAAGTTTGCAAAGCACTTTATAGGTATTATCTCATTTAATCCTCACTACAAGTTGGGGAGGTAGGTGCTATTATTAACTTCATTTTACGGATGAGGAAATTGAGGCACAGAATGTTTAAATGACTTATCCAGGGTCACATAGCTAATGTATTTGAATTCAGGACTTTCTGACTCAAAGTCCAATGCTCTATCCACTGTGCCACCAAGCTGCTAATCATATCATTGAAAGAATGAGGCTCTCTGCACAAATTTTCCAGAAAACTAAAGTCATTTAAAAATATTAGCTACTTTTTTTTCCTGCCTAAAGTGTGTTACATTACATATGCCCTTGTGTGCTTAGAAACAAAATCCTATACATAGGCTTTAAATGTCAACTGATCCTCTTTGCTTTAATTCCATTATTGATTCTGGTATGTAGGACAGTTTGTTTGCCTCTGGTCTAAGTGGCCCCAGTGTGCTTTAGGGATTTTCTTGATGGTTTTTCTCCCTTTTGCCATTTTTCAGAGTTCCAGCTTCAGGTGGCATCTAGCCTCTTCCTAATAAGCTATTCTATAATGTAAGAATAACCAAAAGTGTCCCGGAAAAAGTCATCGGTTTTTAGAGTTGTCGAGTTGGAAAAGACTTTAGACATGGTGTTGCCCAACCTCCATATTTTAGACTTGAGTAAAGTGAGGGTCAGAAAGGGTAGGTCACACAGACATTCAGGAACATTCAAGCCACAAGCTTAGATGTGTGGGCTCTGTGTAAGATATTCCCCTAAGTCCTCTGGTTTTTCCCCCCTCACATAGATTTGAGTCCGATGTAATTAAGATCTCTGGAAGCAGGATAAGAGGGTGTTTTTCTAGCTTCTGCAGCACAGTTCATTTATAAGCCACTAGAATGCAAGTCTCCAAGTACATCGCAATGATCACACAGAACCTGCATGTTCATTTGAAGCAAAGGGAGAAATCCTGAGATGGCATTAAGAACAAATAGCAGTAAAACAAATACTATCAAAGAAAAATGTTGTGTTATCCACGTGTCAGAGAGGAATCATTTATTTATGTCTTTAGGTCACAGAGCAATAATTTAATTTCTGTTTTGGGGGACTATTTTGGTCAACCTTTTAGGCGTTTGAACTGCTTCTCATTACTCTTTCTACCTTCAAACCAAACTGTATTTTAAGGAATCGAAACATTTGGAAAAAATGTGGTTGTGGTTGGAAGATCCAAGAACGTCGGAATGCCCATTACAATGCTTCTACACACTGATGGAGACCATGAGAGACCTGGAGGTATGTCTCTAGATATTCTATTCCAGCAATCCTACTATTTTTCTAAATAGCCACACATACTCGATATAAAATTTGCATTAAAATGCAATAAAATTGTGTTCTTGTTTCCTTGTATGATTTTAATGATTCACTTAATTTTTTTTTTGCCATGGGGTTGTAAACTCATTCAAATGTAGGATGAATAAGAAGATATGTTTATAGAATGCTTTACAGTTGTAAATCCCAGCTAGGTGACGCAGTGGATAGAGTATTGTGCCTGGAGTCCAGGAAGACTCATCTTCCTGAGTTCAAATCTGGTCTCAGACACTTACTAGCTGTATGACCCTGAGCAAGTCACTTAACCCTGCTTGCCTCAGTTTCCTCATCTGTAAAATGAGCTGGAGAAGGAAAGTCCAGGTCTCCAAACTCCAAATCCAATCTTGTTTTCTGTGTTTGGACTTCAGAGTTTGAATCTTGCCATTAAATATATATATACACACCTACGTACATGTGCATATACGTAAGGTGAGTACTTAGATGTATATACATATGTATATGTGAGGACTTAGATGTATGTGTGTCTGTATTATATAGATACACATATACACATATACATTTGTATATATGTATATATTTATTTATTTATGCATGCACATTATATATGCACATGCATATACACATATCTACACACATCTGTAGATATGTGAGTACTTATATGCACCTACCCACGTACATACGAGCATATGGATATTTATGTATATATGTGCCTATCATAATACATATTCACATGCATACACATTTACATACATGTGCATGCATGCAAGTATGTGTCTGTATATATGCATATAAACAATGCACGTTGTACGCACGTCACACAATATGCACGTGTCATATGTATGCATGTGTAGATTGCATATATATGAGTATTTACATTTATGTGTGTACACGTAAATTACATATAATATACACATATACATACACATATACATGTATATGTGTGTGTTTGTCAATGATAATTTAAAATCCTACTTTAAATTACAATGAAATTACAGGGCCCCTCAGGAAAGTCACTGGAAGAATGATTATTCCTGATTTCACTGCCTAACTCTAGCTTACACTAATGCTTTTTACCTCACGGAGTATAATGAAGACTGACTAATTTACACAAAGCATCCCAAAACTTTTAGTGCAGCTTTAAGCACGCAACATTTTCGCACTAAGACTTTTGGGACACCCTGTATATTGGTGGATGGTTATTTGCGCTACGCCTATAGAAGGCTTTCTCTTCAGTCCTCCATTGATAATTCTCCACTCACATTGCTAAAGTATATTTCAAATGGGAACATTTCATTCCTCCATTCATTCCACAAACATTTACCAAGCTCATAGCAAATTCACCTTGCTGAGCAGTGGGGGCAAGGATAAATTAGATACAGTGCCTGCCCTCAAATAATTTAGCATCTAGCAGGGGATAAAAAGACCAGTATTTAGATAGACATGCAATGCTTTATAAGCTGGACTTAAATTGTGCATAAAGTATTAAAAGGTGGAAGTGGGAATGGGAAGAAGGCACATATGACGGGTATTGGTGGAATGGCTAGTTGTCCACCTGGGAACCTACAAATCTGAAAATCAATTTTCCCACACTCAATATTTTATTTTCTCTGGTTAATAATGATACAATGATCATGACTGACATTTGTATATGTTACTTTAAGATGTCTCTATCTATCTATCTATCTATCTATCTATCTATCTATCCATCTATCTATCTATCTATCTATCTATCTATCTGTCTGTTGGTCTGTCTGTGTCTGTCTCCACATTTAATACTCACAACAATTGTCTAAGGTAGGTACTACAGATGCTATTATCCTTGCTTTACAGATAAGCAAATTTGGGCTTAGTTTACTGATTTGCTATGGTCATGAAACTAATAAGTGAGTAAAAGATGGGATTCACAGAATCTCAGTTAGATGAAACCTCAAAGGCTATGTAGTTCAATCTATAACTGAATTGTAGTATCCTCAAGCATCTAGTGGTTGCCTAAAGACCTCCAGTGATGGAGTCTTCCTCTTAAGGCGTCCTGATCCATCCTTGGAGAGCTCTCCATCCCTAGCACCCCCAGCACTGATAGATGAGCCTTTTATCTCAATTTACCTGAAAGTAGAACACTCCAGTTTCTTCCTTCACAGGCACCCACCCCCTCACCACCTTCCAGCTCTTCTCCTCCATTGTATTCTCCCATTAGAATGTTAACTCTTTGAGAACAGAGGGATGGTCTTTTTTGATTAAAGCTGTATCTCCCATTTATCACAGCGCCTGGCATAGAGGAATAAGTACTTGATAAATGTCCTTCCTTCCTTCTTTCTTTCCTTCCATCCATCTTTCCTTCCTCCTTCCCTGCCTTCCTTCCCTGCCTGCCTGCCTAACTTCCTTCCTTCCTTCCTTCCTTCCTTCCTTCCTTCCTTCCTTCCTTCCTTCCTTCCTTCCTTCCTTCCTTCCTCCCTCCCTCCCTCCTTCCCTCCTTCCCTTCCTCTCTTTCTTTCTTTCTTTCTTTCTTTCTTTCTTTCTCTAAATTTTTAAAATATTCTCATCTAGATCCATGGTGATGACTTATCAAACAAAGGAAATAAATACCATTTTTGATACCTGTTATGAGGGAAAATGGAACCTGTCTTTATTGTAGCAACACAAATCGGCTGCTGTGATTACATTGTCAGGGGGATGAGAAATGCTTTTCTATATTAAAAAGGCTATTATAAGGAACACAATTTAATTTCTGTTGCTAGAAACAAAACCAGTGCTTTACAAATGGGGTAAACCAGGGTGTTTCACCTCTGTCAGAGTTCCTTGGAGGGTGGTGACAAGCGCTATTAATATAATGAGTTGCTGATACTGCTGACCTGCTCATGCTTGGAAATTTCGGCTCTGCCTGAGCAGTAATTATACGCAGTAAATATTCATTCATTACTAATAGAGTCCTTGAAGTTGGATTAACTTTGTTCAATGTGGAACTTAGTGAAATGACATCAATGAAGTCTAGCCTGCTCAGGATAGCCAGCTCAAGATGCTGCTTTCTTTGTCAGAAAAACCTCCAGACATCATGAGTTGACTTAGGGCTATTCCAGTTTTTGTCTTCAAGCCAAAGAGAATTTTTTTTTTCTCTCTTAGATAGTTTGAGGGCCAGGTAATTTAGGGCTAAGTCCTCAACATTTTTTTTTTACAAGGAGAGTTATTTATCACTTCCTGAAACTCTTAGAACTGGCAGGAATTGGGATTGGAGTCTGACAATAAAATTCCTGAGCTGAGGTAGGAAGATTTCCCATCACAATGTCTCAGAGCAGAGCAGGACAGGGCATAGGCTCCGTCTCACTGTGGACAAAAGGATTTTGTACTGGGGGAACATCTAACCACCGTTGCTCTGCTGTCACAGATGAGAAAACAAGCCCAGGAAGGGAGCTCCCACCTCCTAGAAGACTTCTTTCTTAATCCCCCTTAATGTTACCAAAGTGGGTTATCTCCGATTTATCCTGTCTATATTTATTTGCATAGAGTTGTTTGCAGGTTGTTTCCCCCATTAGATTGTAAGCTCTTTGAGGGCAGAGCTGTCTTTTGCTTTTCTTTGTATCCACAGTGCCTAGCATATAGCAGGCTATTAGCAAATGCCTGTAAAATGGGAAATCATCATTCTTATACCACCTATGTAATAGGGCTTTGGTAAGGAAATCAACTCATGAAACTTAATTGTGCTTGCCTATTTTATCACCCTACTTCTATACCCCTCCCACAAAATTTCCAAAAGATAATGCTTAGCCTAATATACTCTTTTTTTTTTTTTGGTGAGGCAATGGGGGGGAGGGGTTAAGTGACTTGCCCGGGGTCATGCAGCTAGTATCTTTAAAGTGTCTGAGGTCAGATTTGAACCCAAGTCCTCCTGACTCCAAGGCCAGAGCTCTATCTACTGCACAACCTAGCTGCCCCTAGCCCAATGTATTCTTGAGAACCAATAAAGCGCTGCATCTCCATTTTCATTCAGGTGTGCTCCTCAGGGTAGATACCTGGTAGATACCCAAGTATCTTATGATTGGCTAAGTATCTCATTATGTTTTCTAGCCTCAGAGATTTTTTTTGTTCATTTTTCTTTTTTTAATTTAAATTATGAACATAACAACCTTGAATGACATGAACATTTTGATATACAAAGAATAAAGAGTATTTTATATGAAATGAGCAGCTAGATGGCAGAGTGGATTGAGGAGTAGGCCTAAAGTCAGGAAGACTCATCTTTCTGAATTCAAATCTGACCTCAGACCCTTAATAGCTGTATGACCCTGGGCAAGTCACTTAACCCTGTTTGCCTCAGTTTCTTTGTTTCTAAAATGAGTTGGAGAAGAAGTGGCAAACCACTCCACTGTCTTTGCCAAGAAAAACCCAAATGGGGTCATGAAGAGTTGGATATGACTGAACCAATGAATAACAACAATTTTATATGAAACTATGAACTTCTATAACAAAGTTTTAAAAGTGTATATTAAATTTAATCCACATGTCTGTGTACCTCTTTGAACTTTCTTCTGCTTTCTTCTGTGTTTTTAATATTTCATTAAAGCTATTTTCTGTCTTTTTTTTTTGCCTCTCTGTATCTATCCACCGACTCACCCAACCCACATAAATAAAAGCTTATTACTCTGTCTCTCTTGGCAGTATGAATTTTGTCATTGCCTTATCTGAAAAAAAGGTTGCAATTGCTTTTTTGGAACTGCTTGAAGAATAACATATTTTATTCTAGTCCCTCATTTTAACTGTGCTTTTTTTCTTTATGTTTTAAATGTGCTTCCTATGTAGTGGTTACCCTTATGTTCTTTCCTCTCCCCCTCCCCTCGCCCAATATATGTAGCTGCCCTTGATCACAAGGGAGCACACCCATTCTGATAATAATTATTCAGATTTTATGGAGTTAAGATCTGCAGCACTTTTCTTACAACAATTCTGTTGAAGTAAGTGTACAATTTTTGTCCTTGGTCAAAGGAGGAAACAGATTTAGAGAGAAACCTAGTTCTCCTTATTGCATGGGCAGTCTTCTTTCTGTTGTGGTTTGGAGTGCTGGGAACCCCAAAATGTAAGGGTACAGGGTGAGTCTGCCTTGAAAGAATTTAACCACTCAAGTCAAAGTAGTGAGGTTTTGTTATAACACCAGTGTGGTGGCCAAGATTCTTAGTAAATCTGAGGTTTAGTAGAGATAAAACTGATACTTATACACAAGAAAAGAGAGTGAGAAGATCTGGATGGAATTAAGGAGTAATAAATAGCCTGGGGGGGGGGGGCCCAGGGGCAACAGAGAAAGGGTCTAGATGGGATTGAAGAGTATCAAATAAGCTAATTAAGTGATCAAGGTGGGCTGGGGTGGGCCATATGCCCTAGGCAAAATCTGGGCAGCTGAAAATGTATGGGAAAATTCAGGGTCCACAGCCCATCACCCCACCATTCCCACTTCTGTTTTTACTTATGATTAAAGGAGTAGATTCCAGTTATGAAGAAGGGGTTAGCATGGAATTTAGACCTAGAATCATAGAATTTTAACCTTAGGGATCAGTTCATTCCACCTGTTCTGAGCTACATAGAAAAAATGAAAAAAAGCCAGATTTCATTATTGTGTTGCCAGCTATACTAAAATAGCAAATATTTTGTTATTACAAATTACCTAGGGAGAAATTTGTAGATTTTGATTCCTTTAGAAAATAGTTCAAAACCTTGGGCCCATGAACTATTTTTTTTTTAATACTGTGTTTCAATATGATTGGTTTCCATTGTAATCTGCCCTTGCCTTTGGCCTCAAGTGTGTGCTAAAACATCAGGGAGAGTAGACAGAGCTGAAATTAGTGAGTTAGCCTAAAGCCAATGAATGGAGGACATATTTAGATTGTTCCTTGAGGTGAATTCCAAAGTCATTGATGATGGGTTTGTAATGGATGAAGACATGGACCTGTCCGTGTCATTATCCTAGGAACCTTCAGAAGAAAAATACAAATTTAAAGAAGTTAGATTTGTGTGGCCATCACCTTCTTGTATTTATTAAAACATGTACTTTACAATAGAGATGAAAAAATGTACCTTCTCACCTGCTTCGAAGGGATGAGTGAATCTGGTGTGGAACCTTGCAGATACTGGCAGGTTCCATTGATGGTATTTTGCTTCATTCCCTTAATATGTCAATAGAGAGATGTTAGCCACCCTGAAGACTACTGATACAGGTCCTTTATGGCCTAGTAGAGACTCCATCAGGTATTGCTATAGTCGAAATATTCATCACCATGAAACCTATTTGGTAATGAACTTGTCCAAACCTAGTTAGGCTGCTCTTAGGATGACAGGTACAGTTTCCACAAGCCTTCCTTTCTTAGTAATACTTGTAAGAGATTATGTTCCATTATTGTAGCCTGAGAATTTGATATCACGTCTAGACAACTCAAGGGGTCTCAACTGTATTGGTGTAGGCAGGATACCTCTTGATTTGGAGTTATCACACCTGTGTTCAAATCCTGCTACTTACTGCCTGTTTGACGGTAAGCAAATTTCTAACCCTCTTCTTCCTCTTCTAAAGTGAGAGATTTGGAGTAAATGTCCCCTGTGTGCTCTAAATCTTGGATTCTGTGATCTATACTGCCAAGAGACTTCATATGAGGCTGGATTTCATGAAAGAAATGGTATCTTAGTGGCCTAAAAAAATTACTGTTCATGTCAAAGGAATGTCTTGAATAGAAGTAGCTTCCCTACTTGTATGTATAATGAAATGGCCACAATCTTGGTAAATATTAATGGGAGTTATTACATATTCATTTCAGGTGATGCAACAGTGACGATAACGCATAGATATACTCCAGAAGAGCAGCTGAAGATCCATACACAACTGGCTGATATTATCATAGTAGCTGCAGGTAAGTCCAATGGAAGAAAAGCCTGTACTCTGAATTTGTAACATGTGTTTGGTGGAAACCATTCCATTAAAGTAAAACTAATCCTAAGGATTTTCTCCTTAGATCGGGAAAGAATTCAAAGGGATAGAAATTCATCCTACTTTCCAAAACTTCTCTCTCACAAGCCATTTGGGAGTTACAATTTGAAACATTCTTAAACTTTAGGCACATTTCCCCAGTCAAGAATGAACCAGGGTTCACAGTTTACGTAATAGACTCAGAATAACAGTAGTTACTGTAAATATTAATGTGCTTTAGAGAATCATTTCCCTGAATTCCCTTCTGACACTCCCTCTAAGGATTTTCCTTTTAATGTGGTGCAAAGTAAACCCAAGAGTTCTGACCATTTCCAGAAGTCATCAAAATCTTCTTCTCTTTTTTAATCTGATCTACTGAAGTACTAGAAACCAAGGAAACTGCTCTTGAGTGCATCTACCAAAGGGACTCTGGACTATATCTAATCACTGTCCTAATTGTATCCTCAGGGAAAAGAGTCCAATTTTCTCAAAAAAAAAAGTGGTTAGACCTTTGGTTTGGAGGGAAAAGGGACATAATGCAGGGGGTCAGAAAACTTTTTGGCAAATATCCAGATAGTAAATATTTTAGGCCTTGCTGGACAAAAGGCAAAAATCAAGGTTATTATGAAAGTATGAGAAAATTTTTTTTCACAAAATTTTAATTGATGAAATAAAAATTATTTATAAATAAAATATTGGTAAAATTCAAAATGTAATCATATCTCAGCACAATTTTTATAATAGAGGTCTATTTATTAGAAGAATATGATTTTTGGGGGGAGGAAGAGAACATTTCCCTATCATCAAAATCAATTACAAATATTTGTCTGCTAATCTTATCTGTGGGGAGATTTTATGTAATAATAATAACTAACATTCATATAAGCACTTAATATGTGCTTTTAGCTTATAGTAAACTTGTGAGCATATATTTACAGGCAGATAGAGTTGCATCAGGATAGGAAATAGAACTTCTGGTCATCTATTTTATTAGAATATTGTCTTTGGGATAAGGAGACCTGGGTTGAAACATCAGCTGAATCACTTGTATTTCCTCGGGAAAGTCATATCCTCTTTAAAGGCTAAGCACTTTGACAAATATCTCATTTGATCCTCACAAAAACCCTGCAAGGTAGGTGTTATTATTATCCCTATTTTATAGATGAGGAAACTGAAGCAAACAGGTTAAATGACTTGCACAGGTTCCCACAGTTCATAAGTGTCTGAATTTGGATTTGAACTCAGGTCTTCCTGACCCGGGTGCTCTATCCACTGCACAATTCAGCTGCCGCTATATTTCAAATTTGAAAATGCCTTTTCATACCGAGAAATACTGCCAACTACTGCTGTCAGTCAATGAGTGTATGATTTTAATTGCACATATTCATTGCTTAGAAGTCATTTATAAATTCTGTTAGATTCTTTTCTTGATATTTGCTTTTAGTTCATCATTATATTGTACATTAATCACTTCCAGTTGAAGATTAAGCAGAAGCTTCCCAATTGAACAGTTAAATGAATTGTGAAATATGGACATTTCTTTTGTATTTGCATCGAGGCCCAAAAAACTTTTCTGGAACTGTAGTTTGAGCTCAGAAAACATATCTGCTGCAAATTTGTTTGGGAATGGAGACATCACTTTTTGTTTTAACTCTTGATGTTACCGAAAGTGTATAAAGCAGCTTGACATAGGATTCAAATATTAGTGTTCACTGAATTGATTTAACTTTAGTATAAGTTTTACATATAAATACTATTTTGCCTAGTTAACTTTAAGTTGACTTCATTAAGAAACATGAAACTTGAAGCAAAAGCTAATTTCTAAAGCCATTCAGTGTTCTACTGTAGTGGTTGGAGGTTGAAGTGGTTCCTCCCATTTAGAAAAAATTTCAATCTCACTTCTCAACTTCAAAAATGATAATTTTTCTCTCTCTTCTTTTCTTGTTTTGATATGGAGGGTATGCTTTGGTAATAAAAATAAATAAAATGTCATGACATGGTGACACATGGCAATGAAAATGGTATCATTATAACTATGTCACTGCAATCTGTAGTGTGCTGAGCAGCAGTGGGAAGGGATGACAGTGTTATATACGGTTTCTGTTGAAGCTATCAGCTCTGCCATTGTAGGGGGAAAGCAGTCATAGACAATGCATAAATAAATGATCATGATTGGGTTCTAATAAAACTTTATTTGTGGACACGGAACGGTGAATTTCATATATTTTTTCATGTATCACAAAATATTATCCTTCTTTTGATATTTTTTTCAACAATTTAAAAAATGTGAAAATCACTGCAGGCTATACAGAAACAGGTGGCAAGCCAGGTTGGCCTATGGGCTACAGTTGCTTGACCTCTGACTTAGTGCAAGGCATTTTGAATTATTCATAAAGAAAGACAGATAAGTGTTTTTCATTCAGGTTGGACCAAGGACGTTAGCCTAAAATCCCGATATATAGCCTAGAGAAGTACTGGGGAGGGTGGGGGTGGGGGGGAATTTAGTATGCTTTCATATTCCTTATTGCTATTTATCAGGATGTTATCAATGGAATAATTCCAGCCCTAAAGCTTATAAATTAGGAAAAGCAGTACCCTAGGAATCATATAACTATATGGCTAATTGATGCTGAGCATTAGCAGCTTGTGATTTTGAAGATTATGACTTTGATGGCATTTATGACCTCATATCAAATGGGTATTGGGAAGATGGGGATTACATAGACTTTTGATTTTCGCAACCTACAAGATATAGGACTAGATCTTTTCTCTAATCCTCATAGCCTTTCAAGCCTTTCCAAAATGTAAGTTATGGACAGAGATAAAGCAATTTCAGCTATTTCCATAGTCTAGGACACTAACATCCAAAATAAGGTTTAAAAAAAAAACAACTCAACAACAACTTGAATTGTAGAGAAGGCTAATTCCTAACCCCTAACTCAGCATCTCTTTACTATTACCTGGCACCCTCTCAACAGCAGGGCTTCATTAGCAGGCTGAGATGCTTGGGATGGAACTCAGCTCAACACCCCGACACCAACCCTTCCTTTCCCTTCATATATACATGAATGGAGCTGAGGAGATCCAAATGCTGAACAACGAATATTTGCTCAGACTGAGATATCAATGAGGATCTCTACAATAATGAGCAATTGTAGCAGCACTTTGCTACAAAAGACCTCAGCCAGAGAATAAAGGAACAGTGGGAGTGGAAATTGGGGAGTATTGCAAAATGAAGGAAAATTCATCAGCATCTGTTGAGAGAGAGGACCCTCAGGATGCTCAGGAGAGCATGGAACCACAGCAGGATGTTCCTAAATGGTTTAAAAGAGAAATAAGAATCATGAAAGCAGAATTTATATCCTTCACAGAAAAAATAATTGACAGAATAGAAAAATTTGAATCTATAGTTGAAGCATGGATGTCAAGAAAAGGAGAACTCAGCTGTAAAGTAAACCTCCCCTTTTGGAGTTAAAGCCCAAGTATAGCATTCTGGTAATGGTCTGTATCCAGGACAGTTAAATAAAATAAAATAATAAAATAACCACAGAGCTAAACAAATTCAAGAAACTGTGATCATTAAATGTCTCTGGGATGCTTGGGTGCCAAAGGCAAGAATTAACCTTTAAGGTCCCCTTTAGCTACGAAAACTGTGAGCCTAAATCAATTTCCTACATGGAAACCACCCTGATCAAAGATACAGAATGCTTTGATTTATGGACCTTGACATATTCCTACCACCAGAGGGCACCAATTAGATATGTGGAACGCTGGCCACACACCTTTGTCTTAATCTTGGCCTGAAGACATTTTGTATGAAAACAATAGACACCAGTTGTATCCCTTTTTCTTATGTCCCTAAACAAAGACTGTGATCTATGCATCATATAGATATGGGTCTATATCCTATGATTAGGATAAAAGAAGACAGATGAACACTGAAAAAGAACAATCTAATACATTCCATCAATGAAGGAAAAGACCATTCACAAAGACAATTTGAGAAATTCAGCAAAATAAGTGGATTGTTATAAGATAGATCACTGATTAGAGAGTTAAACACCAGAATTGCTAGCCAAAGCTAGAGGATGTTTTTATTCATTGTTCCACATCTGTGCATGTATACACGCATATATACACATACATACATACATACATATACATATACACATATACACATATACATATACATACATATATATACATACATATGCACATGCCCAAGGGCTATATCCCTCTTAACACCTGTTTTTACATTTGAAAACTATTCCACTCCTGGGCAGCTAGGTGGCAGTGGATAGAGCACCTGCCCTGAAGTCAGGAGGACCTGAGTTCAAATCCAGCCTCAGACCAAACACTTGACACTTACTAGCTGTGTGACCCTGGGCAAGTCACTTAACCCCAATTGCCAAAACAGAAAAAAAAGAAAAAAAAAAAGAAACTACTCCACTACAACTAGGCCTCCACCATTTTGGACTTGTAAAATTGATTATTTGAATCCAAGGATGAGGCTGCATTTATCCCTAATGAATTTTATCCTATTAGATTCAGCTTAATGCAAAAGCCTGCCAGGATCTTCTGTTTGGCATTCAAGGGCCTTAACAACTGGCCCCAATCTTTCCCACTTTATTGTATGTCTCTCCCCTTTACTCACTCTACATTCCAGCCAAACTGGTCTTCATGCTGTTCCTTAAGCACATTCCATATCCTGTCTCCCTCCCTTTGCCCTGGCTTTTCCCCATGCCTTGAATGCACTCCCTCTTCATTTCTGTCTTTTAGTTTCTTTCAAAGCTTAGCTCAAATTATACGTCCTACTCGAAACCTTTCTTGATTCTTCTAGGTGCTAGGATATTTCTCCCATTACTTTTTTGTTTTTATTTTGATGTTTTAAAACATAGATCACATATTATACATATATTTTCATAGATTTATATATGTATACAT